ATATATATATACAAATATATATATATATATAAAAATATATATATATACATATATATATACAAATATATATATATAAATATATATATATATATACACACAAATATATATATAAATATATATATATATACAAATATATATATATAAATATATATATATATATATATATATATATATATATATATATATATATATACAAATATATATATATATATACAAATATATATATATACAAATATATATATACAAATATATATATATATACACATATATATATATATATATATATATATATATATACATATATATATATATATATATATATATATAAATATATATATATATATATATAAATATATATATATATATATATATATATATATATATATATATATATATATATATATATATATATATGGATGAGTATAGAATAACGATATATAACTTTATATATCAGGAACAGTTTTGGGGGAAAGATGTATGACACAGTGAAAGTTTTCATGCGACTAGATTTGCTTAAATTGACGCGACAACGCATGCGCACGAACGGGAGACGATGAAAAATGTTTAATTAAACCTATTTTTTATGTGTTTTGAGTATATCATCTCGCTAATTTCATTTACATTCTTTTTTGTTTGTTTCGTTCGTCTTTCTTAAATATCCCACATTGTAATAACAGAATATCTGTCAAGAATGGTGAAACATTGTAAGAACCTCGACGCAAATTTACTGTGGATGAACAAGCGATTAAAGCACTTTCTAAAATTTACGTCTTAGTGAATTATTTTCTCTTAATTAGATTAACATTTTTTTGTTAAAATTGTGGACAGTCTCATTACGGTGAGTAACTAATGCGTTTAATGCGTTGTTTTTTTTTTTTAAATGCCTCTCTGATGTTCATATAACCTTTTATCTTAAACTTCTTGAGGTTTCTCCAATATATTCTTTCTGGCAATCGTTACAGGTGATAGAGTAAATTCCTCTTTCAAGTTTTAACTTATATTCGGACCGGAATTTTTTTTTCTACAAGTTTGATTGTATGCCAAGGACATTTTTATTTATGTTTCTTAAAGGTAAATGTATTATATATATATATAACTTTGTTTTCAAATAAACTTGCATATACATATACACGCACTCACACACACATATATAACACACGCACATACAACACACACAGACGTATGTCTATATGAGATTTATTCTTCATCGCTTTTTTCGGATAAACTCTATGACTTTCGTTTCTCTAGGTCTACCGACGATGTATTAAAAGTTATTACTGGATTTGTCTACTCAGGCCTTAGATAAAAACGGCGAGGCTCTGGCTGTGGCTTTAGATATGTCGAAGACGTTCGACAGGGTTTGCCACACTGGACTTCTCCACCTGCTCAAGGGCTATAGCATCTCTGGAATAATATTTCACTTAATCCGACCACTCTTAACAAATCGCGTAAATTTGTGTTGAACGGCCACGCTTCTAAATCATTTCACATCAATACGGGTGTCTTGCAGGGCTCTATCTTTGAATCGGCTTTGTTTCTTGTCTTCGCCGACACTCTTCCGGGTTTTATTCCCAAATAAGTATTTATACTGATGACACTTCTGTCCTGTAGTTAGTACGACAGTTCCGACAATTGTCTTTCTTTTATTTCTCCTCGTTTCGCTCAAGCTCATGTTATGCGTTGTCTTCCTCTGTTGCGCTTGCCGTTACTCTTTCCCGGGAGTATCAAATTTCGAAGTCCTCATTCCATATTATATGCCCATGAAACCTCATCTCTCTCTGCCTGATGTTACGTATTCGTTTCCTTTTTTGATTTCTTTTTCTTCAAAACTTCGTCTTTATTCACATGTTCGGTTCACATATCCCCAGCATCCTTCTGTAGAACCACATTTCTGTTGGTTCAAGCCATCTTCATCATTGAGTAGACCGTCCAACACTCACTGCCTTAGAAGAGAACGGGCATCACGTAACAATTCAGAACTTTTTTTTCTAGCGAATGTTTTCCTATATCTTAGTTCTCTGCTTAGTTTTGGGGATGCGTCCTTGGCTATCCCAATACGCCTTCGGGTCTCAGTATTGCTAGACTGAACTTCAATTTTCAACTAAATTAAATTATATTCAAAAACTTTTGACAATGTACATCCCAAAGAACTGGTGAAATTTCTAGGTAAGTTTGAAACGAATTGGGAACGATATTCGAATATTCCAGAATCAACACTGGCAGCAAGCCGCCTGCATACTGAGGGAAAATTAATTTGGTAAATATACACAACTAGAAAGGTGTGTATGGCAAGGATGTGTCTTCTCACCGGACGTATTTAACCTATAGAGTGAAGTAATTCTGAGAGAATTAGAAGTCCTACCAGGATTCATTATTGGCGGTCACGATCTTAACAACATTAGGCATAAAGATAGCATAGTGTTGATAGCAGACATGGAAAAGAAACTACAAGAACTCCTACAGAAGGTAGTGAAGGAAGTAGAGAAAAGAGCGAACATCAATTGCAAGACGACAGAAAGCGTGGTTGCTAGCAAAAGGGAACAGACCAACCTGCAGAGTACAAATTGGAGATACCAACTACAACTTTAAATATCTAGGTGTTTTAACAGAGGGCGAAAAGCACGACACTGAAATCAGAAGTCGCATTAAGATAACGAAAGATGCCTTTCAAAGGCTAAGCAAAGTATTAAGATACAGAGACAATGAAAAGCGCACTAAACTGGTAAGTAATATCAGTTCTCTCGTATGACAGTGAATGCTTGGCAATCTCCAAACAGGTGAAGAGATTTGGAGCAAGAGAAATGTAATCCTGCAGAAGGATGCCGAGAATGCCATGGTCCCAAGCAACGACGATGTTTTCGGATAAAATGGAAGCAAAAAAACATTAAAACATAACGTCAAGAAGACATATTTGAAATTTATAGGGGCCATAATGAGCAATGGATTCTTGGACAATGTGATCGCCAATTTTCTAAAGCCACATGGTATGAAAAAATCCCCTCAGTAATTTGAAATAACATAGAATTGTTAAATATTATACGGTTCTCTTGAATTAATTTTAGACATTACCTGCTAAAAAATTAGCATGTTCGAGTTTTAATTATTTTAGGAAAATTGGAATAAAACATTTCGAACTTTTGAAAAAACTGTTTTAGCCATATTTTGTAGTTGGGAAACTTAGTAATTAAATCCAGAAAACATTTCACGTCTTCAGTCGTCTCCATCGACAGAAATTCGGGTCATCAGGAAGTCACATGAACTAATGGTTTAATTTTGCTGTGGTTCCACTGTGTGAAGTATACGGTTCAGGAAATGCAGAATTTCTTGAAGTTCTCAATCTCCTATGGGAGCATGTTTGGTTTGATTTGTTCTCCAGAAATTCGATAAACTTTGAAGTCCGTCTTCTTCCTTGCCTTCCTCTTCTTTTTGTAATACTACTACTACTACTTCTACTATTACTTCTTCTTTTTCTTTTCCTTCTGTTACTACTTCTTCTTCATCTTTTTTTTTCTACTACTACTACTACTACTACTTACACTACTACTACTACTACTTATATTTCTTCTTCTTAGCTTTCTCCTTTTGGTTTTATTATCATTATGCTTCTATATATCTATCATCTTTTTTCTTCTACTTCTAATACTACTTTACTACTACTACTACATCTTCTACTACTGCTACTTCTTCTTTTCTTCTTCTTTTTCTTTTTCTTCTTTTTCTTCTTCTTCTTCTTCTTCTTCTTCTTCTTCTTATTATTATTATTATTATTATTATTATTATTATTATCTCTTTTTAAATTCAAAGAAATTTCTATTAAAATATGTATCACCGGTGGTAAAAAATTATTTTCTTTATCATTTCTTACACAGAAGAAAATCGTTGCTTGATAAATTATGTTGAAGATTCACAAATTTTATATTGCATTTTGATTTTTAACAGAAGACTGAAAAGGACACACACACACACACACACACACACACACACACACACACACACACACACATATATATATATATATAATTATTTATTCGAAAATTATAACATAAATATCTTATAAAATCACTACAAAAATAGCCATTTTGTTTCAACACTTCTGGTGTCTTATCAAGTGGTGGTGTTAGATTCAACATCATCGAATAAATAATTATATTTGCTCTATTCTGTATTGAGCACTCTTTTAAGAATAGTATTTGTTTGTTATTGGAATTTATTCCGTATATACCAATCCTATACTTATATATATATATATATATATATATATATATATATATATATATATATATATATATATATGTATACAAATATATAGATCTAATATATATTTTCAAATATAATGCCCTTGTAATCACAAGTATTATTCACATATGCACATATAGAAATATATAAGTATATACATCTACATAGATATACATATATTTTAATACATGAAATATTTATATATACACCACAACATACAATAGTATATGGTGTATCCATACATACCTATAAATAAAATATACTTTAATATACTTTTATATATATATATATATATATATATATATATATATATATATATATATATATATATTCCATCTCTGCAGAATAAAGAGTTTTAAAAAGTTCAAAACCAACCAAAGTCCCACCAATAGGGGAAAATTGTTACATAAGCTACAATGAACAATCAAAATACAAGTATATGATAACTCAAAAACTTGACAAGTCACTAAATATCTATGTACTGATTAGGCTAAACGTTGCTTAACTTCAGTGATCGTATGAAAATAGGTGTTTAAACGAGGTATGGCTCTAAACCATACCCGTTGCACATCTAATATTCCAACACTTGTATTCTGAAGTGGCCACCATTTTATTGATTTTAATATCACCCATACATTCAAGCTTACATCAGCTGTTAATCCCCAGCTGTCACATATTGACGTTGCTTAACTTTGGTGACCTTCGAGAACCAAAGTTTCAACGTAATATAGTTGTTTACCCTCAGTACCACATGCACATGCAAGCTTACAACTCCCGGTTTTCCCAAGATATCACCCGTTTAGGTAGTGACCAGACCTGACGTTGCTTAACTTCGGTGATCTTACGGAAACCGGTGTTTTAATGTGATATGTCTCTACATCATATCACCCTCACATCCAAGCTTACAGGAGCTGTTTATTCCCTAGCGATCACCCGTTTAGGCACTGACCAGACCTAACGTTGCTTAACTTCAGTGATCTTACGTGAACCGGTCTTTTAAAGTGATATGACTGTAAACCAAATCACACTCGCTTCCTAGCTTACAGCAGCTGTTATTCCCAAGCGATCACCCGTTTAGGCACTGACCAGACCTGACGTTGCTTAACTTCAGTGATCATATGAGAACCGGTGTTTTAATGTGATATATCTCTAAACCATATCACCCTCACATCCAAGCTTACAGGAGCTGTTTATTCCCTAGCGATCACCCGTTTAGGCACTGACCAGACCTAACGTTGCTTAACTTCAGTTGTCTTATGAGAACCGCTGTTTTAATGTGATATGTCACTAAACATATCACCCTCACATCCAAGCTTACAGCGATCGCTCATTTAGGTAGTGACCAGGCCTGGCGTTGCTTAACTTACAAGAATGGGTGTTTGAATGTGATATGGCCGTAAACTCCAAATTTTTATTAGTTTCGTAATAAGCATAGAAAATTCATTTTAAGAATCGTTTCTTTTCTCTATAGTTCTAGAATCTTCGTCATTTTTCTTTTAATTCCCAGATGTTCGTTTATGGTCTCAGCAGTTGAATTGAATACTAGATGCTAGCACTGACCATTTTAAACCTCTCACCGACTCGTTACCGGCTGCTAGGGGAATAAACAGCAGGAGAGTATAATTGCTTCAAAGAATTTCCTTGCTCTTTCTCGTCTTTCGTTTTAATTCTCGCTTTTCAATGCGGAAGTGGCTGTCGGGCCCATCCCCTTGGTAAAAAAAAAAAACACACACACACACACACACACAGAGAACCGCAAGGTGGTACCATAAATAAAATAAAAATGGACGATAGAAGATAATTTAAAATAATTGAAAAAAAAAAGAATTAAAAAAAAAAAAAAAAAAGCAAAAGCGTTCCAGGAAGCCAAACAGATCTGAAAAATAAGTGAATTAAGAATCAAAAGAAGTAACGAATAAAACAATTACCGCACCTTAATACAATTACGCAGACAAGATGCTGACTCACCCGTCGTATAAGGTGCCCCAGGCGGGAAGATGTGGTTATTGCTAGAAAACAATCATCATCTTCGAAAAAAAAAAAACGAAAAAAAAAAAAACGTTGGAATTATGCAACCGCCTGTTCCATAAATTGTTCGAATCGGACCACGTCTTGCAGGAGCATCACTTCTAAATTGATATATCCACCACTTAATTTGATAAATTAAAAAAAAAATACTTAAAAAGTTCTCGGCCCGGCCCAATTCCTAACTTCTAACCAACTAACCGAACGCCATAACAAATTTTGATTGGGCCGAAAACCTTTCCGCCTCCCCAACCACCAGCGAATAACCATTTACTCTGTTTGATACAATTGCGGTTTTCCAAGCGTAGCTTAGATGCGCCACAAGGTCGAAAGTAAAGACCACTCAGTTAGGATCGAACAGGCCACTCACTGTCTAGACAACCAAACTAGGAAAACACGTCGAATATTTTGATATAATATTTTCAGTTACTAACAGTAGGCTATTTGTACTGTACTGATGCGGCATTCACCCTGGGCGGATTGAGCCGGCTTCTTCCTGTTATGAGAAGAAGATTCTTGGGATAAATTACAGAAGTAGGGTACCCAGGCCTACTCGGATAACGTTCTTGCTTGCCGCGGGGTTCCCACAGACGCAGAGACAGGAACGACCAGAAGCCGCCCGTTACCGATGCAGACGCTCCTTGGATTTTCACCAGAGCCCTTGTTAGCCGGTGTGTGTGTCAGACCTGTCCGCCTTGGGTGGCCCAACCAGGAACGAAGTTCCGGCCGGCATAGCTCTGACACTACCGTTTACACCCCCCCCACCGACTGTGAGGTAAAGGTTGGACTTTGGGGGCTTACAGTACCAGGTGTTCCCAAGCGGTCCCCCATCTAAGTACTGACCTGGCTCTACGATGCTTAATTTCGGTGATCGTACGAGAACCGGTGTTTCAGCGTGATTTGACCGTAAGCAGTAGGCTATTTGTGGCAGAAGGCCGTTAGTATAGTGCACCCAGTGAGGATCGTAACTGATCTAGCGAGACAAGCTTGTTAAATATTAGACGGCAACCCGACATGGTGTAATTGTTTATTATTCATGGCTCGCTAGAGTTCGAGCTTCACTAGTTGTCCCATACTTTCGGCTTTAACCCACGTCAACCCGCACAGCTAAGCCACGCTTAGAAAATCCTTGGGACACCACGTCGAATCCGGTTTGATAAAATATATGGGTTATTTTTTTTTCTAAAGAAAATATTCTGAAGTATCTCCCGGGGTTTAAACTTAAATTATCGCGTAATTTAATGTTTAACTACATACCGTAGGCTACCAGTATCTTAACTCCATAATAATGTCATCATACTTATCTTATTGTTACCTACAGATCACCTGTGTTTTCTATATCTCTATCTATAAAAGGCAGGATTTGTGTGTGTGTGTGTGTGTGTGTGTGTGTGTGTGTGTGTGTGTGTGTGTAAAGTAACGAAGGCACGGCCGCAATTTTCGACAGATTTGCACCAAAATTTACATGTACATGCTCCAAGTTAGTGGGAAGGCCAAAGCCGACTTTACATTTCCCAACTCCCATCCATAGTGGAAATAAGCGATTTTTCCCTGCTTCGACGGCAGTTTGCATGTAGTTTGCGGCCATTTTCTACTGGCCAGAGTGAGAGCCAATAGCTGGCTGCCACGAATAGGCAGGAAGATTGTATTGGCCAGCGTGAGAGCCAACAGCTGACTGACACGAATGTTAACTAACATGCTAGCATGCAAAAAAAAAAAATCGATAGCTGCATTCGTCACAAGTGGGAAAAATTTAAATCTGCATGGCACTTTACCCTAATTGGCGCATTCGCTTGCTTAAACTCAGCGTTGATTCTGATTCCGAAGAACTGGGTTGGGTGTGAAAAAGTATTTGTTGTTAACATTCTTTTTTCATTCGGTTTTTCCAGTTACGAGTCCTTTTTTAAAGCTGATCGTTTTGTGTTCATTTTGTTTAGTTCTTTTTTCGTAACAGATTTAATGTTTAGTATAGAGCTTAGAAAAAATTCACAGTGTGAGATAGGCAAGAAGTAAGGCATGTAGCAACATCAGCACGGCAAAGGATACGCCTTTAAATGTAAGGAAGGGCAAAAATATTATAAGTTAAGTGATAGCGATTGCTGTATGAGTCGTACGATTTTTGAATCAAGCACGAGCAACACCGGGCCATGCTGCTAGTTCCTTTATAAAGTCTTTTATTTGAGACTCGCGTAAAAGGAAAGTTTTGTTGAGTATATATTGAAAGTGATTTTTTAATGAGGGTCGAACAATTCCTTTCTCAATTTTTTAGTGATTTTCCAAGCGTAGCTTAGATGCAGCACAAGGACGAAAGTAGGGGACACCCAGTGAGGATCGAACTCATTACTCAGTCGTAATTGTTCTAGCGAGACAAGCTAACCATTACACCGCGCAGAGGTGCTTCTAAATGATTTTCTTCCTTAGAGTAATGTCCAAATTTGAATTATCCTTATCAATTACCAATTGATATCTATCTATCTATCTATCTATCTATCTATCTATCTCTCTCTCTCTCTCTCTCTCTCTCTCTCTATATATATATATATATATATATATATATATATATATATATATATATATAATATTTATATCTATATCTATATCTATATATATATATATATATATATATATATATATATATATATATATTAGTCAAACAATACTTAAAAGTCCTTCTCGGTTATAATTTATTTCATGCTCATCAGACATAAAATTAAATATATTCATGAAATAAATTATAACCGAGATGGATTTTAAGATTTTTTTGATTTTATATATATATATATATATATATATATATATATATATATATATATATATATATATATATTTGGTGTAAATAAAATGGCGTCCAATGCTAGTAAGCATATGGTAATAAATATACAAGTACGACTCTGAGTGTCATGAATTAGCGCATAATATTCCGAGTCGTACTGTCGGTGTCGTGTATTATGTATATCTATTAATATATATATCTATATATCTATATATATATCTATATCTATATATATATGTATATATATATTTACACTCGGTCATATGTCCTTCTCATTCACGTATCCATTCATTCTATCTATCCATCTCTCTCCCCACTCTCTCTCTTTATATATATATGTTTGTCTGACGATCGCTAAAGCGTGAAACCCAGGGTCACAAACTCACATCTATCCAACCAAATATGTTAGCTCTATCTCTGATATTGAGCGCTTTCTAATAAGTACCGCGCATATAATATATAAATAATTATACATATATATATATTTATTTATATTTATATTCACTTTTCACATATATATATATATATATATATAGTTATATTTGTATGTGATAACTTGCACGTATATTTATTTATATTTATTTTGATTTTATTCATACATATATATATATATATATATATATATATATATATATATATATATATATATATATATATTTATGGCAGAAAATATGAGAAATAATATAAAAAGCCTAATTGCAGAACCTTATCGGCCTCCATTCATTCATATATATATATATATATATATATATATATATATATATATATATACAGAGACACATATTCATAGGAACTTTTTACACTCACTTGCTCACTCATTCAGAAAACTACTCTCTATATATATATATATATATATATATATATATATATATATATATATATATATATATATATATATATATACTGTATATGTAGACACCATTTTTCATGAATGCATTTTTAATGTGAGCCTATAGGCAAGAAACTTTAGAACGCTTTACCAAAAATATATCTTACATTTTTATTTACGCCTCAAGAATCCGAAAGCCTATCACTAAATAGCCGAGGGCTGTATATGACTTTCTTCCATCAAAGTATTGAGAAATTCGGTTGCCTGTTACAAATGACTGAGAATTTCACTTGAATATCGCTTTGTGTTTGTCGTCATCTTAATACTTTTTTCCGTTATTTTATTCAATGTGACATGTGGTACACTTGCGTTCAAATGTACCCTAGATTGGGAAGCGAGAGAAGTCCTAACTATAAGGCTAATTTCTGTAGCTAAGAAAGAATAAATAATTGTAGAATATTGCGCTGCTTTCTCGTTTATTTGCAGACTACATCTAGCGGTAATTAGCAGA